GGATCCCTCTTGGCCCAGTCCTCCTCTTCCTTTTCAGCATCTCCTCCTGGCTCAACCACATTCACATCCAGTCCTAGCCTTTCCTCGGGTCCTACATGCTATTATTCTGCTTGTCCTCAGTCCACCTCTCCTGACTGCCTGTCGTTCCCTACTGGTAGAGTCCTCCATTTCCAAGACTTCTACTTCTGACAGCTTTCCTGAGCCAGTCCTAGCTTTCTGTCAGTCAGAGATTACTGAACTCTACACAGGCATAATGGTCCACCATGTACAGCATACATACAATCCTTGCTCATGCTGACTTTTGTGAATGCCTGATCCTCCTCCGGAAGCTTGCTGGCTTTGCTTGCCTTATTCATCATGTCACGTGCAATGCTCCTTATCAGCTGCAAGAAACTGATTACCAGCAATGGTCCCTCCTCCTTTGGTCTTTCTTCACAGTCGTCTCAGGGTCCGTCTTCTTCCACTGTGCTTGGACACTACCAGGAACGGGCACCGAGACACAAGCAAAAGAGAGGAAGTGTGTGTGTTTCAGGGCAGTGTGTGTCTCAGGGCATTGCAAACAGTCTCAGCCAGGCTCAGGAATACACCATGCAGACAGCTGTCAGGCTCCTTGGCTGTGAAGGCCAGAAAGATGACTGAGCCTACTGTGATTTATCAAAGTAGTTTGAGAAAATGTGCGTGAAGCAGCTCAGATTTGATAAGAAACAGAAAGCACTGCTTCCCTATGGCCATTGGAATGTTTTTATCCAAATCATGATTGTGTAAGAATTTCTTTACTACTATCAAAAAGGGCTTTGCATTTATTTAACATGGATACCCTATTGTCTTCTTCTCTTAATTTCATTCTTAGGAAGGACTGGGCTGAAATTGCCCAAAAACCTTTAAACATGAGCCATGAGAAAATTCAGTCTGAATGGTTCAAGTGAGGCAATGTCATAAACAAGGTTTTCAAGTAGAAAACTGTCAGGAAACCTGACTAACAAGCAATTTGATGAGACAGCCTGAACATCGCAACTGGCATTATGTTTAATCTCTGGTATTTCAATTTAAGATATTCCAAGTAACCTAGCTACTATGGAGAATATGTCTTGCAAAGCTACTATACATAGGCAAGATCATTTGAGAGTAATAGAAATTATACCCAGGTGTGTCTGTTCTAATTAGGCAGAAAATGCTTGCTTTTATGTTGACTTTCTCAGTTGCTGTGTCCTGCTATTAGAATAATTATTCTCTCTGCCTTGTCTGACCCAGAGAGGGATACAGATAGGAGCAGTAATCTCACTTAACCAGCCTAGCAAGGAACTGCAATGTTCTCATTTGAGACATTCCTGTTTCATCCCATATCCCTGTCCCAGTTTTACCAAGCTGCTTCCCATGCTGTAAAACCAGACTTTTCCCTGGCCATAGAAAGGCCTGCGCTAAAGAGCTTCTTTTCCCCAGACAGGTATTGGGCAGGAAGGGAACTTGGACAGAGCCCTCTCCCTTCCTATTCGAGTGTCACCACCGGGCTGCTACTGCAGCTACCACGGCCTTTTCTACAGACCTCCTCCAGTTCTGTGCTCGGGGTAGGCGTATTTGGAGAATAGATGCCGAAGTGACCCCCGTGCTGAGGAATGCAGTGCTCTGGCCCTGACCGAGTTCAGGCATGAAGCACTGAGCTTTTAAGCTCTGTGCAAGGTGATGAAATACTGATTGTTACCCAGAAGTTTAGAAGATTCCTGGAAGTGATGGGACAGAAAGTTCAAAATCATTTAGTAAGGTATCCAGGCAATCAGGGCATCGAAAGGCTTGGACAGGATTAATGAGTAGGACCTTGCAGCATTACACTTTGCATCTGGGTGTTTAACTCCCATGTTAGATATGAGCCTTGCTTCCTGGCTATATATATGTGTGTGTATATATAAAAATACATATATAAATTGTAACATGAAAAGCTTAATTTGTAACTATTTGCTAATCACAACATATGCCTCTGCACTCAGCTACAATCGCTTTGTGAATTCTAAACGGTGGAGCAGAGCACCACCTAGTGACATAGAGTTACTGATCAGCTGCTAAGGATGTGATCTATTTGATCAGGTTTGAAATTCAGACAAAAATACAATTAAAATACTGAATTTGCAATTAAAAATTATCCTATCAAAATCTTGAAGAATTTAATATAAAATGTAATATGACTTTTCCTATCCCGTTGAAGGGAAACAAGATTTATGATAGATACTGTTTGATAAAACGAGGCCTCACTCCTGATCTGATTTTATTCCCCTCCATCTGCTTGGAATTTGGCTTGATTTTTTTTTCTTCTGCTTTCTATTTTCCTTTATTCACAACAAAAACGTGAGACAAAGTTCAAGGGAAACAATTCAAAAAGGGGCAGATCAACAATGAAAGCTAATATTAGCATTTGATGACAACAAGCCATCAAATGTCAGTATTATCTTTCATCATTGGCATGGTGTTTTTTCAGTGATTTTCCCAATCAAATATTAAGGTTATTCTTTGTGGCTAAGTAAGTTCCAAGTTGTTACTAATAATTTTGGTTATTTTTCTTGATATATTCAAAATACTAGATTTGTTTTATATGTAAAATTAAGCGTTTCACATAAAAACTTACAAAAATTAATATTTCAAGAAAAGAGAGTTTTACTTTTGTTAATATTTTTATCATGCATTTTAAAGGTGCAATAGTACAAATGGATGGAAATGTCATTGAATGCCCTCTATTACAGACACAAAATTACTTCTGCAAAGTGTACTAAATTTTAAACCCTGTTTTATTCTAAATTTCACACTAATTCTTAAAACACTGTACAATGAATGACTAAGGAACATCGAAAAGTACAGCACTGATAAAAACTTGTGAGCCTAACTTCTAGGGATCCCACCTACAATGTTTTCTCAGCAATCACATTTGTGTTGGTTTTACAAATTATATTTATTTCCAGTGAGCTTCAAAGGGCATAGATTGATTCTCCTTCACCACATCCATGCTCATCACCAAAGTTTCATTCAGTGGGATGGAGTACACTTTTTTCCTAAGCAAAATGCTTGGAAACTGCGCAAGCCCCCGGCAGCTCCGCAGCGGCCCCCGCGCGGGTCGTTCTCCCGAGGCCGCAGGTGCTGCGCTGCTCCTTGGAGGACCCTCTGCCTTGGCCCCCGGGCCGCGCCGGTCAGGCC